TTTGCTTACTTCTAAAATGGGGGAACTTCCTGTGGGAACCAGTACTTGAGCTGTGTGGTTGAGCTAAATTGCTGCTTTGCTGCTGATTCCCTAGGGAAGACTTTTTGTGCAGCTCAGGGTTTAATGGTTGACCTTATAGGTACTTTTTGCTCTCCAGAGACTGGATGTACCTGGGTTGTGTAGAAACTCTGATCTGGGCCTGAATCTTTCATCTAACTGCACCCCATGCAATTCTGCATTCCCGACCAGTCTCCTCTGGAGATCCAGGATCAGCAGTCCTTGCTGTATCCCAGTATTTTCCCGGTGGGCCCATCTCCCCCACCGCCTGTGTGCCAAACGCTTCCCATGGGGCGGGCCATGCAACAGTCCCCTGCGTTGACTCACTGGCCTCTGAATGGCTCCCCTTTTTCAGCTGTTCGGGCTCCTCACTCCTGCGTGGGTCCACGGGAACCCTGTTAGTGGTCTTGCTGTCCTGGGGGCCACCAAAGTCCTCTTCTCGCCTTCTGCCTCCAAGTAACTCCATCTAAAAGGCACAGCTGCAGCTTCTGCTGGCTCCTGCTCCATGCGCTCCAGCATTAAAGCAGCCATGGGCCGAAACGCTGAAAGCAGTTTTTCCTTTCTCGCATTGTGGTTTCTCCTGCCTTAATGAACTCCGCATGGTTTCTCCCACTTTCATGAGTTCCATAGGTCTCTCCTCCTCTTCATCTGAGCTCCAGTGGCCCCAGCTTGGCTGATGTTACATTTTTATGTTGTAAATTCGCTAATTTGTAGGAGAGAGTGATGCAGGGGACCACCTATTCTGCCATCCTGACCGGAACTCGAATTCCTTAGCTTTTTGATATGACTTAGTATGAGTGTTCACCACTTTGAAAAGTCCAGTATCCAGAAATCTAAACATGTAATACAGATAAATTAGTGTGGGAGCATCCTCATTACAAAGAGTTGTTTTTCAAATATATTAGAAGTTTAGTTTATTCTAATCAGATGGGTTTTTAAATGTATAGAGTATAAAAGTGTTATTTACATGCAGTCTTTCTGGAGCACATCTTTTGAATAAATGAAGTCATTCTTGAATATCAAAATTTATCTAAAAAGCATATAGGTGTATTTATTATTTAATTTCTATCCTAATGATTGGATATATCTCAGGAAAATCACTGTATCAATCTAAGATTTCTAGTACTAATTGTTGGTCCCTAGCACTTATATTTTAAATATAAAATATAAGGAGGATTCAAGTAAACTTAACTCCTTGCTTTCTACTAATACCTTCTAAGATAGATAATACTAAAACACTTCATCTCATAATTATATTTTTAATAATGATGACTTTGAGGATCCCAATTATCATAACTTACTAAAGATTCTGTAATTATCGAATGGTTACTCTTTATCAGGCCAGTGGTGCTAGGTGTGTACATATAGCAGGGAACAAGATGTCATTCACTGTATAAAACTTACAGCTGAGCAGGGAAGAAAATAAGTAATTACAGTAAGGTAAGATAAATATTACTATAGCGAGTGGTATAGGAACATAAGACAGGGAGACCTGAAGCTTCCCAAAGTTCTGAGAAAATACAAATCAGTTTAATACTAGGCTCTCTGTCAGTCGGGATAAAAAAACCATTATTCCCCAGGAGAGTTACAGTCTCTTCAGTAATCAAGGGAGGAAATGAGTTAGCAAAGAAGAGTTATAGTATCTTAAGTAGTCAAGCAAGGAAATGAGTTAGCAAAGAGTCCCATATCAAGGTTCAAATTTGTCAATCCTGTGTCCATTCCAATTGGCCATTCCAGATCCTTGAGGCATTTTAAGATCGGAGGAACTGCTGGGGACAGTCAACATACTGGACACTTTACAAGTTATTAATCCTTAAAATAATACTATGAACCCCCCAATCCCACCCCAAGCCCATTTTGCAGATAAATAAATGTGGCCCAGAGAGAGAGAAGAATTGGCCCAAAATGACAGAGCCATAATTTGATGCTAATTCTGTTTCTATACAAAGCTCAATATTCTTCTGCTGCCCTGTGTCAGAAAAGACTGACAGAAGAAGTTATGTTTAAGAAAGCTAACAAAAAAAACCCCACAAAACTCAGCTACTCGCCTTCAGCAAAGAAGGAGGAAGCAGGAGTTACGTAACCAATTACAATAACATGCAAATAACCAGAACTATTTGAAATATTTATTTCCCTTCCTCTAGGCCACCTTTCTCAAACTAGGAGCATTGGGGCACATTAAAAGGTATTCCATGGATAAAGTATTTTCTTGGTCAGATATATTTAGAAAAAGAAGGTTAAACAAAGACAAATAGCTTACTTTACTGGGGACTTCTCAGAGTCTGTAATATAATAATGTGTGTTATGCACCTCCAAGCAAGAGCAAATATACTTGATCAGAAGAAAATACATCCCCACCACCACCCTCCCAGAAAGACTGTTAAC